TTGAAAGCCTGTGGAGCGGCCGGGACCCGCTCGGTGTGTCCGCTCGGGTTTCCAGAGGCCTCAGGGGGAACGTCTTGGAGTTTCTAATCCTGCTAAATGCCCATTTTTAAACCCAAATTCGTGTCCCTGCGCCGCGAGGGGGGTGTGTGTGGGGGGGTGTCCTGCTGGGCACCGAGCGGGGTCGGTGGGCCCGGATCGGTGGGAAACGGCTGGAAACAAAATGGGAAAGGAGGGATGTGCCTCATTTCCTTGGAGATTAAAACACGAGTTTCATTTCAATGTGGGGGTTTTTTTGACACAACGGAAAACTTTGGCTGCTCTTCATAGTAACTCGGTTTTTCTGGCTCTCAGGGCTGGCTGGTGTTTAAATGAAGTGTCTAAACTTAGTTATCGTGGGGTAAGGGGGGTTTATCTGCATTAATTCTGTGTCACTTCCAGGGTTTACTGTGATGAAGGGGCAGTGCAAGAAAATATTGAGGAGTGGTCGTGTAGTTTCAGTAATGTACAGTGATTTTAATGTTTACAGTGATTTTAAAATGTTTTGCTATCTTTTCTTGCTAAGATTATATAACACAGGGGTTTGGTATTAAAAAAGGGTTGTAGACTTATTTTTAAAGAATCTTCTGTTTGAGTCAAGGGAGGGGAAAAAAAAGCCTTCCTGAAGCAGGAGCCCTGTGTTTCACCAGGGCAGTAGTAATTGACTAGGAGAGGAGCTAAAGTAATAACTTGGATGAGAATGGTGTTGTCAGTGTCTGTGTTAGTTTCCTCCTCTCATGTTTACTGGCTGTGTGACTCACTGGACAACGTGTGCCCTGCAGTTGTTATGATACATTATCCTCCTGTGTGTGTGTCATAAAAGCTGCAAGAGCAGGTGTCCAGATGAAATTGTAGCAGAGCAAGCAGGAGCAGCAGCAGGGGGAGGCAGAAGTGGCCACTGTGTGCCTGCACAAGTGGCTGAGCTGCAGAGGTTCAGGTATCTCCTCTCTTCACTGAGACCTTTTCTGTGCTACGAAAAAGCTGGAGCTCAGATGGTGACAGTTGTGCTGATGTGGGTGTTGTTGCTGTGTTGTGAGGCAGAGGCAGTGCTCCCTGGGAGTGTGTTCTTGTTGTAGGGGCTGTTAGGGCTTGCTGGGTTTGGATAGTTACCTTTGTAATGGAAGAGCTTGGCTCTGTCTGCTTTGTACCCATCCTCTGGGTCTTCCTATAGAATCTTATAGAATCATAGAGTGGTTTGGGTTGGAAGGGACCATCTAGTTTCAACTCTCAGCATGGGCAGGGACACTTCCCACTAGACCAGGTTGCTCAAAGTCCCATCCAACCTGCCCTTGAAAATACACGGCAATAAAAACCCTCCTGAGCTTTTTCTTTCCTCCTAGGAAAGATGCTCCAGCCCCTTCATCAGCTTAGCAGTCTCCAGCATGTATGTCCCTATAGCAGGGAGGCCAGTGCTGGACACAGCATTCCAGCTGTGGCCTCCACAGTGCTGAGCAGAGGGAAGGATCAGCTCCATCAGCCTGCAGTCCAGGATACCATCAGTCCCTGTGGCACAGGGACATGCTGGCTCATGCCTGTCATTGTGTCAACCAGGAACCCTTGACCCTTTCTGCAAGGCTGTGCTGGCACATGGGCTTGTGCCTCCCCAGGGACAGGGCTTTGCACTTCCCTTTGTTGTGGTTAAAGAGGTTTCTTCAGCCCTTTCTCCAGCCTGTTGAGGTCCCTTAGGATGGCAGCATGACCCTCTGTGCATCAGCCACTGCTTGCTGTTTGGTGTCATCAGCAAACTTCTTGAAAGTACACCCTGCCACATCATCCAGATCACTAATGAAGGTGTTGTATCCAGGCATGGACACAGGGTTGGCCCCCAAGGTGTACCACTACTTACTGACCAGAGTCACTGACCTCCTTGGTCAATAACTAGTGCCACTGATGCCACTGGTCTGGCCCTCTGGGCTCAGCCTTTCTGCTGCTTTTCAGTCCCCCTCACTGTTTGAAGCCTTCTCTGTAAGGGTCTTGTGGCAGGCAGCATCAAAAGCCTCACTGAAGTCCAGGCAGAAGATACCTGCTGCTCTCTCCATGTCTACCAAACCAGTCTCATTGTACAATGTTGTGACAACTGCATAATTTAAATTTTTAAAAAAAAAAGTTCTCATCACAACCCATACAGTGTGGCCAGAGGCTCTGTCAGAAATGGTGCCCACCCCAGATATCCCTGTTTTTTCAGGAGTCAGCTCAGATGCATTAAACAAAGCCAGGTAAACTTCCATACTGGTGGTCTTGAGGCAGGACTGGGACTTGCTGCTCAGCAAAATTAAACCTGTGCTAAGGAAACAAACCTTTATCAAGTATTTTGCTGGTGCAGAACTGGACAGTATTGAGGAACATAAAATTTAGAAAGATTTGAGATTCTTTTGTAGCTAAAGTAAATTACAGCCAGGGTAGATTTTAAAGAAATATATTAGCCAGTTTTTATCAATCCTTCTTTTATTTAAAACGAGGCTTATTGTTTGCTGGTTGCACTGGTGTTTGTGCTTGTGTAAGAACTTCTGATATAAAAAACTGTTAGCAGCTATTTGCAATCAAAACATGTTCTGACAGGAGCATGTTGTTCTTGCTGGGATCTAGATAGACATAAGATCAAAAAATGTTGTTTAGCTTAAAACTTTATTTTGGTTTAGAAAAACTGTTGGTTCAGTTTTTAAAAAATTTGTATCAAGTCCAAAGTCAAAAACAGTGATTGTAGAAAGTCAACTGTTTCTTGGTCTTCACCCCTCCTGGAGTTACTCTGATAACACTCTGAGACAAAGAAGAGAGTCTGTAAATCACAACGGGTGTGCAAGATGCTATTGATACCAAATTTTACTTTCAATTGCTAATTGACCCATGTAGTCGTGCAAGATACTGATTGTTCCATTCTTGGGTATGGTAAAGGTTGTTCTGAATCATCTTTCAAAAATGGTCTGCTAGAATGAGCTCAGCTTTATGCACTCAGTGTGCTGATGTGAGTTCATTTTCATGTGTTATCAGGCTACTGGGCAACTCATGTTTCTCACAAGGTTCTTACAGCCCTGTCTCTTTTCTGCTTGCAGCAGTAGATGGTCACTGTCAGCTTCTGGCCATCCCAATAATGAAATCAGAAACTAAGGATGGAGAAGAGGAAAGCCTGCAGACAGCATTCAAAAAGCTAAGAGTTGACACAGCTGGGTAAGTAACAACACAGGGAGGAGTTAACATCTTACAGACAGACTTGGAGGGAACACCCTTGCTGTTAAATTTAAAGGCATGAGGTAATTCCAAAAAGTTGGGCACTGGAAGCCTTCATTCTGCTTAAACCCACCAGCTGCAAGCTGCACCTCTCAAGAAATTGTGATTTGTTTGATTGATCTTTGCTCCCAGCAGGCTTAAAACAAACCTAATGAGTCAGCAGTTGACAGCCAGTATTTTTGAAAAGAATTTTGGCACCAATCTGGTTGCCAGAGGTGATGTCCAGAGCTCTAGAACTCTACTGTTGAAGTGAGTGTATTATCCAGGCTCTGAAAGCCTGTCATAAGCATTCACTCCCATCTTGTCCCAGGAGAGAAACATTCTCCCCATGTCAATAAAGGAAAGTGTTAGATGCAGTGCATGATTCCCACACAAACTCTTTTCACTGCTCTCATTTATAAGTATCCTGTTTATAACCAAAATCACTACATGGAAGAGAACCCTTTTTGTATTGTCTTATGGGAAACACATGGGGCACTTACCCTTCCAGGCCCAGGTAGCAGAACACAAGCAGCATGTGTCTTCTGTTGGTGATGGTAATTTTTTATCTGACAGGAAAAAAAAAGCTTATTTTTAATGTTGGGTTTTTTTCTGCTGACAAATGTGCAGCATTACAGACTGCTGGTACAGCACTGTGTTCCAGTGAGCTGTTGTCAGTGATGCAGTTATGCCAGTGACTGAAATGAAAGAGTAGGAAAGGCAGATCTAAATATCAAGGTGATAATTAGAATTACTGGAGAATCTAGACTGTCAGTACATGGGCTTCTAAAGTGATCTTTCATTTAAGTAATTAAACTCATTAGAAATGAATCCCCACACAAATACTTTTCTTTAGTATCTCTACTCCCACACCCTGGTCAGGCATAAGTAATTGCTTTGGGGTTTTTCCTGTTGGGCTTCAATTTTCTGCTCTGTGTTCATTGTCCTTTAAATGGAAAATAGCAGGTGTTTGACTAATAGTTTAGACTCTTAAATATCAGCTAACCCTCTCCTAGATCAGTGTCTGGGGACATTTTCACTTTGCAGAGAATCTGCTCTGCTTATAAACCAATTTGATACAGATTTAAGAAATAATTTCCTTGTGAATTCCAGTGTAATATGTGAGGTTGTGACTTGGAAAAAATTGCTCTTGGGATTATTACAGCTCCTTGAAAATGGGAGTTTGGGCTGAATTTCTAGCACCAGAAATATTAGTACATCTTCTGAGGTCTCTGGCTTGAATAGAAGTTGAAGGTCTGACACAACTCTGTTGCTCAAGTGATTGAACTTGAAATAGTATGATGAGTTTCAGCTTATGTTGTCCTAGACAGAAGCTTAAGTGTTCTTCAGTTAGAAAAAGGTCTATTTATGTCCAAAGAACATTTATTTTTAGGAAAGAATGGCTTATTTGTCTCTGGAAAAAGAGGCATGTTTCTTCAGTGATGGTGTTTTTCCCCTCCCCTCTCCCTGGAAACTGAAATTTACCCATTGTGTGTGCTTAGTCATTGACATGTGGAGTTGGGATTTGCAGTCGAGCTGCTAAATGGCATCATGTTTGGTGAAAGAGTCTGTTATACAAACTTTGGAGATAGGAATGTGTAAACACTGTCTTTCTGATTTGAGTCTTTGTGGGCAGATCTTTTAAGACATATTGTAAATTATTTGGAGCAGTCTTTTATGGGAAAGAAGATGCATAAGCTTTTTCATATTCACAATGCTAACCAGTCTAGGCTGTTAACTTTTCATTCCCTCTTTCACAGATCTACTGGTTCTCTCTCTGTGGGTGAAGGGACAAGTTCAAGAGCACTAATTAGAACAGTAGCAGATGAAACTAAACCTAAGAATGTGTGTTCTTCCAAGGAAACCTGGCATGGGTAAGAGAAGCTTGAGATTATCAAACTACATAAAACTATACTGCTCAGAAAGGGAATTTTAAATAGACAGGTTTTGTAGTAACTGCACCCCTACACAAGGGAACCAAGTTTTTGTTGTTATACTTCAGTATTAATAGTGCTCTTCACCACCTTTTCCTCTTAACATGTGACTACTGCTCTTGTTTACAATTTTATGAAGTGAAAGGAAATGCTGTTCAGCTGTAGGTTTCCAAACATTATGGATGTGTCATAATAGAAATGTGAATTGGTGCTTTTGAATCAGTCAGTCATGAATGCCTCTCTTTCAATAACTGTTTGACATTCCTGTCACTGTGCCTTGAACTAGATTAAAATAAAGAATTGGTTTCTGGAGTGTTGATGTAGAAATTCACACTCACCTATTGAGGCAAAACCACCTCTTGGCCATCATTATTTAGCTTTGTGCAGTCTTGTTGGAGGTTATTTTGTTGTGTCTCATGTGCTTTGCTCTTTTTCTAACCTTCAAAGCACTCATTTGAGGATTCAGTTCTCAGCTGTTCCTTTTATATTGTATACCACTGCTTGGCAAGAGCAAAGTCAAATTGCAAGACAGTGAAGTACCCTGAGGTACCCTAAAGCTCTTGCATGCAAAACAAATGCAGTAGAGATCTTCCCCAGTGTTATTTGTGATCCAAATCTTCACTCCCTTTCCTGTCTTGCCCTGGTAGGTCTGTGAAGAAGCCTTTACGAGGAGTTGTGAGAACCCAGCGTCGCAGGCGTTCCAAGTCTCCAATTCTTCATCCTCCCAAGTTTATCCATTGCAGCACAAAATCACATTCCACCTGCAACCAGCTAGGACACAAGAGCCAGACTGATGCCCCGAGTGACAGCAGTGGGTTTGGGGTGGCAGTCCCAGCAGAAGCCTGTGCACACGAACAATGCAGTGTTGCTCCTGACGTTGACCCAAAGAGAGCTGATGTTGAGTCTTTGACAGCTTCTGTTCCACAGTCAGTTACACAGAACTCTCCAGCTGCTGTTTCCCTAGTGTCCAAGGCAAGCCTAAAGACCTCAGAGCTTGCTGACTTCCAGTCCATGTCCAAGCTGAACACCAACAAGCCATGTACATGTGCAGATAAAGCCTGTCAGTGTAAACGGTGGCAAGATATGGAAGTATACAAATTCTCTGGCTTGCAGAACACCCTCCCAGTGGCACCTGATAGAAGAACAGTTTCTGAGGATCACACCCAGTCTTTGCCATCAAGAACTCCTGCAAGTTCCCCACGTTCTTGCTCTGAGCAAGCCAGGGCCTTTGTGGATGATGTGACTATTGAAGATCTTTCGGGATACATGGAATATTACTTGTATATTCCAAAGAAAATGTCTCACATGGCAGAAATGATGTACACTTGACAGCAAAGAGCACTAAGACCAGAAGGGTGGGTGGTTTAAATCTGCCCTCTGTCACACTCATGTGAGATGCAACCCACTCCCTGCTCACTGTGCTTGCAATAAAAACACTTCTTAGCATCTTAGCTAGTGTTCATTATTTAAGCTGGACAAACAGGTTAGCTCAAGCTTTACAGTATAAGCTTGAAACAAATAATGAAGTAAACACTGTGGATGTGTTTAGAGGGTATCTGACTTTACAGAAGTGACCCAACATTTGGGGAAATTCTATGTTGTTTTCAAAGTCCTGTTCTGGTTTTTTTTAGAGGGAAGTTTCTAGATTGCTTGGTAATTGGAGCTCTTACTGTGAGAAACCTGATGTAACTCAGCTGCTTTGAACTTGTGTTGGCCTCAGGTTGTAATCCTTATGTTTTGGGCTCTTGGGCCTGTGATTCTATTTCATAAAGGAGTGTGACCATCTCCTGTCTCCCCCTTAATACTGTCACTACTCTGAGCAAAATCAGGAGACACAGTCACCTTTTCTTGGGTGGGGGGCATTGTTATTTCTTTGTGCCTGAAGAGGCTTTATTTCTGATGGGCTGAACAGGCATCCTCCTGCCCTGTCTTTGTTTATGTGGTCAGATGCCTTTGGGTTAGCACAACATTTGCACGTTGGGCTGCCTGATGAGAAAAGAAACTTGGAGAATGAAAGCAAGATTGTTTACAGAAGTTATCCTGTTCTCTGTAGTGCTGGAAAATGTAAAGCAAGGGTAACTTTGACTGTCCAACAGGCATTAGAGACTTCTCTGCAGCAGCAGAGTAGGGAGATCTTTCCCTTCCAGTCTTTCTGATGAATCATTGCCACTTAGATGCCTTGTCCAGGTCCAAGATACTGGTGGAGCCTTGTGCTCTTCCTGAAATTTACTTCTCCAGAAACAACCACTTTGCCATACTTTGTGCATCAACACAATCTGTTCTTTATAAACATGTATAGCAAAGGAGAACCCCCCCAAAGAATATGATTGGTTGAGGGAGAGTTGTGTTAAAATTTGTCTTTACACTTTGCAGTGCCTGCACTTTTCTGGCCTGTAAGGTCTGGAGAAAAAAAGGAGACAGATGTTTCTCTGCAAAATCCTTTGGTGTTACCCCTGGGCTTTTTTGTCATTTCTTTGGCAGTACAGAGTATCTTAGAACTAAGTGGCCCTGCAAATGGACCTGCTTGGCCAGTTGTGAAGTGTCATCTACCCCTTGCAGAATGTACTTGAGTCCCTCATCACTTTTCTGTTTCCCTGCTCTTAACGAGCTGTATTTTTGTGTTCTGAATTCAAGGCGTTTGTTTGGTGACTCTTGTCTGCAGTACTGGGCTGCAAAGTGCAGACTGACCTTAGTTTTCAAATGATTATTCCTTACAGTTCCCAAATGGTTGTGGGGAGCAGCCACAGCACTGTTGTGGGGCTGAGAACACCTTCCAAGCCCTCACTGCTTTTAACCAGTCGTTTCGTTAGTTACCACAGACCTGTAACCTGCAGGGTTTGGGATTGCAACGTGAAGTGCTCGGTATCGTGTTGCTGGGAGGTAATGTCAAAAAAAAGTAGAAAGATGTGAACTGGTGCAGCCTGGGAAGGGAGGCCAGCGGTGCTGGGCCACTAGGGGTCACCCCCAGGCTGCGGGTTGGCTGAGTGCAGGGACTCTTCTGGCCTCCTCAGCCTTCAGAGGAGAATGTGACTTTTTCTGCCAAGAGGAAGAAATCTGACCAGCCCCGGGACCTGCCTTAGTGCACACGCAGTGCTGGTGCATTCTGAAGTTTGGGTGTGTGGGTGTGTTGGTGGTCAAGAGGAGCTCTGCACATGCCAGCATTCCCCTAAGTTATTAACACTTAAATGAAGTGTGTTATCAGTTCACAACTGTGCTATGCAATTAGGAAGAGTTGCTAAGTAAATAATTACGTTGTCCTGAACTTGGCATCCTCAGAGAGCAGTTACAACACATTTGGGCTGGTAAATGCTGGAACACTATGACATAGAAAATCATGGGCAGCTGCAACTGCTGCCTTAACACTTTCCCTTCTGTTACTACAGGGCATTTTAAGATCCTTTGGAATACTCAGAAACCACAAAACCAAAACCTTCTGGTTATGCTTTGAGGAAATGTTCATCTCCAACCCTTAATTTTGCAAAAAACTTTACTCAGTCATGCTTTCTATCTAAAAGCTTAGCCTTAAAAGAAAAAAATTCAAGTCCAACTTGAGCCTAATTCAAAATCTGGCTTTTTTTTTTTTTTTTTTGTGAAGAAAACTTTGGAGGATAAGTTCTGCCAAGCAGCATTTCTGAATTGTCTCAGAGCCCCCTACCAAAGTGCCCATTCCTTCCTGTGGCTGAATAAAAGTGTAACCCCTTGCACTTTGCAGCTGGTCCTTCTCACCTGTGCCTGCAGGTATTTGGGAGCTGGGTTGCTGTGTATACATACTTAGCTTTTGCAGTTACATAGTCTGCATTTTTTTCTAAGCTGCCTTAGAAAGTAGAAACACTGATGTAGAGGCTGTCCAAGTTGTAAAGCTGTGTCATGCAAGCCTGGAGCTCGTTGTTGTCTGGCAGCTTTGCTCCAGAGCTTGGCGTGGGTCTCAGGAGCTCATCCCCAAGGGCAGAGCACAGCCTGCTGGCAGCGTGGTCTCACCCCACAGCTCTTGCAGCTTCTCAGCAGCTTGTGGTCAGTGAGGGGAAGGTCATCTCTTCATGGTCTTGCTGTGACATGTCTTCAGGAGATGGAACCAGCTGGAAGAAGAGAGGATTTGGATTAGCCTGTTACCTGGTGTTTCATTCCTTGTCCTTTCTGCTGTCTCTGATGACATGGGTTGTGTTTAGCAAGGTGGGCTGCCACTATTGATGTGTCTGCAACTCTCCCAAGGGTTGGGTCACAGTGCCTTTCTCTTCTGAACAGACTAAATTTGCTGTCAGCTATTAGGGCATTTTGGTAAGTTTGTTGCTGTTTGGGAGAAGAGGAGGCTAATTTTTAATATTTTTTTTTCCCCCACTGCCCTAAAGCAGCTCTGGAAATTCCCTTGAGAAGCTGCGGGCAGGGAGGGGAGTTCGGGTGCCCTGAGGTGAGCAGATGCACACTTTGCCTTTACTCCTTGCTCTAACTCTGCCCACAGAAACCCCGGAGCGAGCCCACCCGACCCCCGAAGGCTCAGCCCGCCCCCCTCCCGGCTCTCCGGGCATCCATCCATCCATCCATCCATCCATCCATCCATCCATCCATCCATCCATCCATCCATCCATCCATCCATCCATCCATCCATCCTTCCTTCCTTCCTTCCTTCCCTCCCTCCTTCCCTCCCCGCGGGGGTCGGGCGGAGCAGGGAGCGGCTCCCCCCCCTCCTCGTGCGG